GTTGTAGTTGGTTCAAAAAAATTATTTTAATAGTTTTGAGAAGGAATCTGCTAAGCTTTTAATAAGTAGTTTATGATTTTAAAACTCCATTGTCAGGATTATAAAAGGCAAAGTCAGGCAGAACACTTGCACTAGGCATTATACCCAGCTCAATACAGAGCTGTGGCTACTCTTAACTGGGTAGTCTCCACTCCAGTTTGGAGGCTTAGAGGAATATTCTCTAAGTCTCCTTCACCCTTGGTCCAACACCACTTTGAAGAGGTGCCCAAGGAAGATCCTGCTAAGCATGGTTCGGGATCCTGAGATCTTCCTGGATATTCCTTCTTTTCCCCAACCTCTACCTTCAATTCATTCTGAGCACCATCCAATGTATAGAATAGCAGATATTGCCCCTGCATTCTAACCTTTCTATCCTGTGAAGTGACCACAATTATTTGTGATGGGTAAGTCAAAAGGTGGAGAAAATGAGGCAGGAAATGATGTTGGCTGAGGCAGAGAGATAGCATTGTTGTACACAGGTAAATTTACAATCAACAAGCTCATTCTCATAATATAAGAAGGTTCTGGGAAATAAGCCAACATCACTTGTAGACCACAGACTTCCTGGTGATGTGCTCTAAAAAGTCATCCTCTGGTCACTTTACCATATAATTTGTAATAATGTGGTACAGATATTTGGATATATGTGTGAAGGGAGTACAGGATTGAAAAAAAAGTTGTCAAATTGTAAAATAGAAGGAGGAAATGAATAAAAGAAAAGAAAGCAGCAAAAACGAAACTGCAAAGCTTCTGAGGGTTATATGGTGTTACTGAACAGTGGTTTCTTTAATAACCTGTCCAGATTCTGGCAGTACTTGGAAGATGTTGTTCCCACCATTCCAATCAATGAATGGCTAAAATTCCATGGGCTCCTTTAATGTATACTCTGGTGCGTGTCAAAGTGAGGGAAGGATTTGGAAGACCCACTATGAAGGGGCTGTCTGGTTTGCTAGGACTCGCAGTGCCTATGCCTCATGGTGCCACCTGGATGCTTGGTTATTCCGTGACGAGTAAGGCTGCCAAATTTATCCTTAAATGTCACTAATTTAACATTTTGCTGATGAACCTAGAGTCAAAATCACTCAAGATATAGGCTTGTCCTTGTATTGCTCTCTGTGTCGGGGCTCCTAAAACCTAGCTCTCCACGCTCGTCTCTGTCAGTGTCACTTCTTGGCCTGATCACTGTGGTTTATAAAACGCATAAATGTCAAATGTATGACAACCATAACATAAAGTTCTAGAGGGGAAAATGGAGGTACATTACCATAAGGCTCTGCTGAATATGGAGTGGCTTACTAGTACTCGAATGGGGACTATGGTAAGTTAAAGAGGTATACTACAAATCCCAAAGCAATCACTAAAATGAGAACAAAACAACAAGTTGTAGCTAATAAGCCGACAACACAGATAACAGCGAAATCATGAACATATTCAATCCCGAAAGAAGGCAGAAAAATAGGAAAAAGGAAGGGACAAAACAAATAGCAAGATGATAGATTTAAACCCAACTCTGTTAGTGATCACACGGCATGCAAAGGATCTGAATACTCCCATTAGAAGCAGTTTGTCAGATTGGATTAAAAAAGCAAGACCCCAACTGTATCTTCCCTAAAAGAAACCCACTCTAGATATAAAAACACAAATAAGTTAACAGTAAAAGAATGGAAATAGATACATCATCTTAACATTAATAAAAGACAGCTGAAGTGACTATATTACTGCCAGTCAAAGTAGATTTCAGAGCAAACATTTCTAACGGTAAAAAACATAATTTCACAATGAGAAAGCAGTTACAAAAGGACATAACAATACTCAACGATTAGGCCTCTAATAACAGAGGTTCCAAATACATGTAGCAAAATTTGGTAGACCTGTAGGAAGAAATAAACAAATCCAAAATAATAGAGATTTCAACACTCCTCTCTCAAACAAGTAGACAGGAAATTAGTTTGTAGGAGACTTGGTCACACTATCTACCAAATTAATCTGATTGATAATCATAGAATATTCCCCTCGACAATAGCAGAATACCCATTATTTTCAAATGCACATGAAATATTTACTAAGATAGAACATATTCCAGGCAACAAAAAAAGTCTCAATGAATGCAGAAGCATCAAAATAATACAAAGCCTACCCCAGACAATAATAAAATTAAATTAGAAATCAATAACAAATATATCTGGAAAATCCCCAAACATCTGGAAACTTAGTTACATCTTCTGAATAATCTGTGGGCCAAAAACTATGTTAAAAGGAAAATTAGAAAGCATTTTAAATGAGTGAAAAACACAGCATATGAAAATTCGTGGGGTTCAGCTAACGCAATAGTAGATGGAGAATTATAGCCCTAAATGGTTGTAATAGAAAAAAAAAAAAAAAGAAAAATTTTATATCAATGGCTCCATTTCCACATTAAAAAATAAGAAAAAAGAAAATATTAAACTCAAAGTAAGCACAAGAAAGGAAATAAAGATCAACAAGGAAATCAGTGAAATAGAACACAGAAAAATATTTTTTAAAATGAATAAAACCCAAAGCTGTTTTGTTAAAAAGTTCAATAAAATTGGCAAACTTCTAGCCAGGTGGATGAAAAAAATATAGAGAAATATAAAGTATCAATTATTACATCACTACAGAGTCTCTATAAATTAAGATGATAATAAGGGAATATCATGGAAAACTTTAGGCCAATAAATTCAACAACTTTGATGAAATAGTGAAGTTTCCTGAAACTACCAAAGCTCATTTAAGAAGAAATACATAACCTGAATATTCCTATATTGTTACTAAAACATTGCATTCATGAGAGAAACATTCTTTCCTTGGGAACTAAGGCTAACAGAACCCAAAGTTATGGGAAATGGAAGCCATAATTTCACATGGCTGATTAGGATTAATAGTGGGAAGATCCACTGATATCATACATTGGCTCTGCTCTTTCTATCATGGAAGAGGGACATGTCACCAGGTGGCCGACTGATCTCCCTGGGATATGGTGTTGGATCAAAGGCTCAGTGTTGGTCTTAGCTCTTACCAGTTTGGTCACAGTGGTTGTAGCCAGCTGGACTTCAGAAACTGAGAGTCAGAATTACTGTATTTATGCACAGTCCCCATCCCTACCACCATGTGATGAGCCTATTGAGCAAGGACAGGTGTGGCTGGGAGAAGAGGCTGGCTGATATGCACAGAATGGGGTATATTAATTAATATCCTTCTTTTCTGAATTCTTTGAATGTTAATGTGAGGTACACATATCTGTACACTCCACGCTCTTCAGAGATGTCCACCTGCATCCCTGTCCTCAAAGCTGCATTACCACAGTCCATTATCATCCCTTCAATGCCTGTACGATCTGTATTGACATTCTCGTTCCCATACCCGATAGTAGTAATTTGTATACCATATTTTTGCCCCTTTTGTGATTTATGTAGAGGCTTATCAATTTTATTAATTATTTCCAAACAATTACTGTTTGATTTTATTGGTTCTTTATTTTTTTCTGTTTCAGGATTTCTCCCCTTTAGCATTTCCTTCATCCTCCTTACCTTAGGTTCAATTTTTGTTCCTTTTCTAAATTTTTAATGTGGTATCACAAATGATTGTCTTCAGATTGTTATCATTTCTGAATATTTAGTGTAGATATTTTTTCTACATATTGCTTTATTGTTAGAGCATTTAGATGAAATGTGGTACTGATTGCAAATGTAGTCCCTAACAGAGAACTTTCCTACTTGCAATGATCCCTGTAACCCAAATAAAGATTCCCTAAGTAATGATCCAGTGGTTTAATAGTACTTAAAATAAATACTACATTTTACATCAGTTTCTGTAATTAACTAGAATAATATATACCTTCTAGCCAGGCTTAAGCTTCAGAAACAAAATATAATCCTAGTCTTTTTAGGTATTCCAGTTCGGAATCATGGAGATGCTTTTTCACACTGCCTGTTCTTTTGGACTTGCCTTTGTTTGCCTGTCAAACCAAGGGACCAAGAGGTCTTTGTTATTTAAGTCATGTTGTTCTGGAATGTAAATTATCCTTACTGTTGGTGCAGAATGTATTCCATTGCCTGTCCGGCTTTTTAGGGTAGCCATCCTGTGCTTGTACACCCAAGGCCAACTACATTCTATCCTCAAAGAAATGTATGTCTTGTCTCTTACGGCTCTCTTTAGAATGATTAGCAACTTTATAATTACTAAAGTGCTAAATAAGGTCTCAGCTGTGGGGTATAATGGTAAATTGAGACCCCTTTTATAATGGAAAAATAATTGATTATAATGGTGAGCTGGGACCCCATTACAATACTCTCAAAATTTCCATTTTAGTGATAAGTAGTGTCAGATGTCAGTGTTTAGAATATTTCGATGGTTCCAGGACCATCTCAGGAGGTGAATTTGGGCCCATCCTAGTCAGTCCAATGAAGGTCATTTACTCTCTTTTTTTTCTAGCAGATGACTTATGGACATATCCTGGAAATACACAACATACTGTGGACTCAGAGGACATACCTGAGGTACTGGGACATCGGGATATGGGAGCTCAGCTGGGAGGCCTGTTGTGCTGAGCAGGATTCAGGGGCTCAGTGGTCTTTCAGAATAACTGGCAACCCTCTGGTTTTGGCCCAGCAGTTTCTTCCAGTATGTCACAGCACGACCCATGTTTTTTGTCTCACTGCAGAGCCTTTGCAAGGTTCAGTATGGTAGCCACCAAGCATCGCATACTGAATATTCCTTCTTTCCTTCTGGGGAAAATGGCTGGTGCAAGTTGTTCTGCCTGACATTGCCTTTTAGAATCCTGACAATGGAATAGCCATTTAATTTTAAATAAATTGAAACAAAATAAAACTTAAAATTCAGAACTACAGTCACACTTGTCACATTTCAAGTGCTCAGTAGTCACATGTGGCTAAGGGCAGCCATCCTGGACAATGCAGAACAATCCCATCTCTGCAGAAAGTTCTATTAGAGCTGCTGGATCGTTAGGTGGGCAGGTCCCTTGCACAAGTAAATCTGGACAGCTCCTCCCCACATTTCCTCTCTGTTCCTCCTTCTCAACATCCTGGCTTAGCATTGTGCACAAAATCAGAGAGGCGTGCAGGACCCAGATTTTGCAGGTAAAGGAATAGGGGTGTGTGTGGCGGGGGTTGGGAGAAATTTGCAATTTTGGTGAGGAGAGGACCTGTATCTTAAAATGTCTGGTAAACATGTTTTCAGACTATATTCTCGTTGGTTCCTGTTTCCTGTCTTTGCTAATTTTAGGTTGTATTCGTTTTGAAGGCTAAGCCCTACAAATTATTGCCTCTTTCAGGGGTTGCTGCTCAGAGAATACTTGTTTTACAAATAAAAGTTTCCTTTCACTTGTTTCGGAATTTATACAGAAACTTTGATTCTTCCAGGGATAAAGTTGGGTGAGCGGACAGAATTAGTTCTTCAGGAGCTGGTGGGAAGAAGAACATTGGGATATGTAAGGGGCACAGGTCTGTATGCGTCCCCACAAAGACTGCATCCAGGTCAGGACTGGAGGTTCTGCAGTCTGAGGTCTTGTTACCGGGTTAACTGACTGCTCAGAACTGCCCGTTAGGGAAACTGCCTCTTCAGGGACAGTCCTGGGTTTACTGGGATTTGAGCTCCCGTTTAGTGGGTAGAAGGAGGCTGTGACTCTCTGCAGTTCAGGAGAAGCTGGGTTCTGATGGATACTTTTTCTTTAGGCAGAGAGAGGATAACTCAGCCACCTGAGGTTAGCACCTACAAAAGCACAGTCTCCTGGCTTTGCCTCTGAGTTAGGAACAGCAGAGCAGCATTAAAGAGCCCATGTACTAGAAGGAGGATGTGAAGAAACACCCAAAGAATGTCACAAAAACCCAGAGTGTCACAGCATTGTTTTCTTGTTGCTGGTGTCCTATCCCCTCTCCTAACACCAGCCACTGATTTTTAAAAATTTTATGATTTCTCTTCTTTGTTTACAAGAAGCTGTTTCCTACACCCTATTCTTGAAGGATAAAGAAATAATCATTCTTTCAAAAGAAATACCTGGCTTTTCACAGTGTGTCATGTTTGTTAGCTTCCTATGAGGTGACTCTGTCCTTAACAACTACCATTTTCTGCCTGTTTTGGTCATAGTCTGCTCCAATAAGAGTCCTTCAAATATCTTTCTCCATTGCAAAATGTTTGTAGGTAGCAATGAAATAAAACATTTAACATTTATACCATGTTTCTATAATGCTACATATTAATTAATAAAGGAAAGGATTGTCATTTTCACAGATCAGATGTGGGCTGGACATAGTGACCAATCAGAGGAAAGAAGCAAGGAGATTATTCATTTATTTATTTAACAAATAATGATTGAGAACCAGTCTTTGCCCAGTATTGTGTTTGTCTCCAGGGAATAATAAGACATACAAAACATATGTGGTCTTCCTGTCACAAAGATTGTAGTCTAACAGGAGACAGTAAAAAAATCAAACAAATAACTTCTAGAGTAATACACATCTTTTTTTATTATTATACTTTAAGTTCTGGAGTACATGTGCAGATCGTGCAGGTTTGTTACATAGGTATACACATGCAATGGTGGTGGTTTGCTGCATCCATTGCCCCATCATTATTTCTTCTAATCTCCCCAATCTCTCCACCCTCTGCTATTCCTCCCTTAGCCAGCTACCCACCCTGGCCCCAGTGTGTGATGGTCACCACCCTGTGTCCTTGTGTTCTTATTGTTCAACACTCACATATGAGTGAGAACATGCAGTGTTTGCTTTTCCGTTCTTGTGTCAGTTTGCTGAGAATGCTGGTTTCCAGTTTCATCCATATCCCTGCAAAGGACATGAACTGATCCTTTTTTATGGCTACATAGTATTCCATGGTGTATATGTGCCACATTTTCTTTATCCAGTCTATCATTGATGGGCATTTGGGTTGGTTCCAAGTCTTTGCTATTGTGAACAGTGCCGCAATAAACATATGTGTGCATGTGTCTTTATAATAGAATGAGGGTAATACATATTCTGTAAGAACTCTCTGGGGTGCAAATACCAAGTGGACCATGCCAGAGGGTGTTGCTGGTGGACAGTGGTGTTGGGGAGACTCTCTGGAGAGCTGAGGCCTGCCTGCTAAGGAGGAACAAGCTGGGCACTAGGTTGGAGGGTGAGTGCTCCAGAGAGAGGGGACGATTCTGCAAAGGCCTTGAAGGTGGAAGGAGCCTAGATTTCCAGGACTTTGACGGTAGTATGGCTCACACCTAGGAGACAGGAGAAAGCTGATCATGCATGGCCTACGGACCATTCCAAGGACTTAAGTTATTTTTGAAACCAGTAGGAAGCCACTAGGAAATTTAAACCAGAAAAAATATCAAATGTTAGTTAAATAACATCCGATTGCAGAGCAGAAAAGGGACTGAAGGGGAGATGATCAATTAGAAGGCTGTTAAATTGCAAACTAATGACAGTGGGTTGTATTAGCACAAAGATGGAGATAAATGGGTAATTTTGAGGTTTTTTAGAAGTAGAATCGATAGGATTTGGTGATGGACCAATGAGACAGAGAGGATGAAAGAGCTGTGGATGACCCCAGGGTTCTGGAGGAGCCATGGGCTAGATGGTGGTGCCGTCTGCTGAGGGGGAGCAAGGGAGGCAGAACAGGAGGTGGAGGTCAGGGCTTAATTGCAGCCAGGTTCTGTTTGAGATACCCATGAAACAGCCAAATGGAGAAGCTGAGTGAATATAAAAGTTTGGAACTCTGAGGAGGGTGTAAGCTACAGACCTCATACAAAGGCATCCAAGCCACAAATCTCTAGGTGGGGGAAGGGGCCAGACCAATGCTGAGGAACCACTGGAAGCGTTTATGTTTGTGTAAAGAAAAAGGAACAATCTGGAAATGAAACTGTAAATGGAGGGTTAAGGAGACTTTTGAGAAATGCGGCAGGAGAAATCAATGTAGCAAGTTCCCAGCAAAAAAATAAAGTTGTTGGCTATAGGCAGCCAGGGATTCTAGTTGCTTCCATTTTCCTAAAATGACATGGTTATGTTCTCAATCTACAGGAGTTCAAGCGACAATGGCAGCCAAATTCAGCAGTGTGGACTTCAACCTCGGCACACCAGGGGCCAGTTATGGTGAGAGGGCGTTCAGGGTTCCCCAGGCCAGGCTGCAGGGAGGTTAGCAGGTCGGGGTGGGGGTTGTCCTGCCTTGCCAGCCAGTCCCCATTTGAGCAGGAGAAAAACATTTCCAACCTCTTTTCTCATTTCCTCCTCATTTGACATGCTCTTTCATCTCTCTTGACCCTCTGCACTTTCTGCCCATGGTGTAGCTGTAGCAGCTAAGCAGAAGAGAGATTAAACATCCTTTGACTGACCCAGAACTCGACACGGTTTCTTATCTCCTACTTCCGGCAACATGGGCACACCAGAACAGCTGGTTGTACCCTCTCCGTTTTTCTGCCCCTTTCTCCAGCCTGGAGGAGGGTTGGGAAAGAGGAATGTGAGAGTAATTGATCCCTCACCCTGGTCCCTAATTTCCCAGCTCCTGGTGGTCTCACCATAACCAACAAACTAAACTGGCTGGCTCACTCGGTGTATCACATGACCTTCCATTTTATTCCTTATCTATAGAAATTCACTATGTCAATTGAGCTTTTGCTGGTTTAATAAACTATTCCAAAGTTTAGTAGCTTAAGACATTAGCCATTTAGTTGGCTTTTAATTCTATGCATTCACTGAGCCATTCTTGGATCTGGACCAGCTGGGCTCATCTTAGGCACTCGATCATGCATGTGGGGTGAGCTAGTGCCTGGTATGAGGCCGAATAGTCTTGGATAGCCTTATGGACATGTCTGGTAGTTAGCAGGCTCTCAGGTAGCCAGGGTGATAGGGATAACTGGGCTTTGCTGTCATCATCAAGAAGGCTATTCCACGCTTCGTCATAAAGTAGTTGCCAGAAAAGCAGAAAGAAAAGGCAAGCCACAATGCATAAGCACTTTTGGAGCCTCTGCTTGCATCAGGCTTTCTACTGTCCTACTGTCCAGAGCAAGTCATAAGACCCACCCAGATTCAACGGTTGAAGAGGCAGATAGCATCTTGATGGGAGGATCTGCAAATCGACATCCTAAAGAGGCATGCAGGGATAAGAATAGATTGTGGCTATATTTACAATTTCCTCCATGGATTGTCATCCCTATGCTGTCGACACCGACAAACTTGCAGTGTTGGAGCTGGCCTTTGGTGCCTTGTCATTTTACTTCCCATGATTCTCCTATTCCCTTCCCTATGATCAACCAATGCCCTCAGATATCCTTAGGACAGAGCCTCCCACTGTGATGGTAACTAAATAAAAATGTGAACACCAGCCCACGTTTTTTGTTTTTGTTTTTAAAGGTAATCTTAGCTTTCCTATATCCAGTGTTCTCAGTTGTATTACTTTTGAAATTATGCTTCTTTCATCCTAGGATAGTGGTTATCAGGTGTGGGAAGCTCTGCTTTAAGAATAATGATAGGGTGTATAACCCACTTCCCTGGCTTCTTAATGGGAAAAAGAAATGCTTCATTTTGAATATAAATTGGGAAAATCAATCTCCATTACAGATACTCTAAAGTCAAATCTTGGGTTACTCCCTGCACTACCTTACTAGAAACAAACAGTGGGCCTGGTGTCTCACGCCTGTAATCCCAGCCCTTTAAGAGGCTGAGGCAGGTGAATCACCTGAGGTCAGGAGTTTGAGACCAGCCTGAACTACATGCTGAGACTTTGTCTCTACTAAAAATACAAAAATTATCCTGGTGTGGGGTGCATGCCTGTAATGCCCGCTACTCAGGAGGCTGAGGCAGGAGAATTGCTTGAACCTGGGAAGCGGAGGTTGCAGTGAGCCAAGATCACGCCACTGCACTCCAGCCTAGGCAATGAGAAACTCCGTCTCAAAAAACAAACAAATAAACAAACAAACAGCTATTATTGGTAACTCATAGTTCTCTTCTGAAACCATTTTATTTCTTCCTCTGTGGGCTATACAGCTACAAAAGATCAGACTACGAAGCTCAAGGGAATCCTGAAAAGCAAGACTGAAGACAGGAGATTAAGGGAAGGGCCAGTTGCCCAAGTACTGCAAGATGAGCATCAGGCCCACAGGACTCTCTGTGAGTGCAGGAGTAACATCAGGAGAAGCCCACAGGCAGTAACAGAAAAGGGCACAGGGGGTGAGGACTCTGTAGGGGAAACTATTAGAGGTAGATTCTAACAGTGTGGCTTTTTTTTTTCTCTTGATATCCCAGGGCCTGGAAGCCAAGAGCCCAGACATTCCCAGTTGAGAATTGTGTTAGTGGGTAAAACTGGAGCAGGAAAAAGTGCAACAGCAAACAGCATCCTTGGAGAGAAAGTGTTTCATTCTGGCATTGCAGCAAAATCCATTACCAAGAATTGTGAGAAATGCAGCGGCATGTGGAAGGAAACAGAACTCGTCGTGGTTGACACGCCAGGCATTTTCGACACTGAGGTGCAGAATGCTGACACGTGCAAAGAGATCGTTCGCTGCATCCTCCTGACCTCCCCAGGGCCTCATGCTCTGCTTCTGGTGGTCCCACTAGGCCGTTACACCAAGGAAGAGCAGCAGGCCACAGAGAAGATCCTGAAAATGTTTGGAGAGAGGGCTAGAAGATTCATGATTCTCCTATTCACCCGGAAAGATGACTTAGATGGCACCAATTTGCATGATTACTTAATGGAAGCTCCAAAAGGCATTCAAGACTTGATGAACATTTTTGGTGACCGCTACTGTGCGTTCAACAACAGGGCAACAGGCGCTGAGAAGGAGGCCCAGAGGGCGCAGCTGCTGGCCCTGGTCCAGCTCGTGGTGAGCAAGAACAAAGGAGGCTGCTACACTAACAGGATGTACCAAATGGCCGAGGAGGAGATCCAGAAGCAAACCCAAGCGATGCAAGAATGCTACAGAGTGGAGATGGAGAGAGAGAAAGCACGGATAAGAGAGGAGTATGAAGAGATAATCAGCAAGCTGAGAGATGAAATGGAGCAGGAAAAGAGAAGGGCACAAATGGCGAAGGAACTAGCAGAACAGGAGGCTCTCTGTGTCGCAAGGCAGCAAGAGGCAAGAATGGAAGTGGAGAATCAGAATGGGATGCTTGAATTAATCATTAATGCATTAAAGATTGCTTTCTTAATTTTCTCACGTGTGTTCATGGAAGATTAAACTTAATGAAAACCTGTTTGTATTTTCCACATATTCTCTGGCAACCTTGCCCCATACTTAACTCATTTCGCAAAGTTGGAGTGCTCTAGTTTCTGTCTCTCAGGTGCTCATAAATAAGGACCACCATTGTCCATTGGTAGATGTTTGATTGACTTAACAAGAGAAGGACAAATTTTTAATTTGTGAAACTCCAAAGCAGAAGGCATTGGTGCTTGCTACCTTGTGAATTTTTCCTTACACATGCAGAGAAAATGTATGCAAGAGACCAAAGAAGATGACTCCAAGCTATATCATGTTACCTCTAATAAAACCTTTTTTCTAGATTCTTTCTGTATTAGCAGATAGTCTCCACCTGTAGGTTCTACTCACTTATTTTTGTGTTCAGAGTCACAGGGATCATCTTACTCATATGGTTTGTTAGAAAGATCAATTCTTTGTTTGCAGTAGGTAATCTTAGAGATGGAGATAATTGTAGAATTATTTCTAGATGAGTGTCTATTTAATTCCATGTAATATAAAGAGTCAAATTGTTTTTTATCATTTGTTCATTAAAGAACAGAGACTTGTCTGGAAAATAGATCTCTACAAATTCAACTATATAGTGATCCCCGAATCCTGAAAGAGTGAAAGACAGCAATTCAACAGCTAAGAGAGCAATGATTGGTATATTCAGGTATATCTGTAGAAACTCTTTGACCAACCTCAGTTTAACCAGTTTGATAAATACTCAGTTGTCTCCTTTTCTTGAGAAATAACAGATAGTTGTGACCCCACCTCCTTCACTCCACACCTTGAATACTTGTTGTTTGGCAGGTCATACCCACACTTCTGCCCCCACTGCATTGAATTTTTTGCTTATTGTGTTTATAATGAAACTTTTCAGTTATCTCATATTTGTGCAGAATTAGAACTTGTTTCATCTTGGAAAATACTACTGCTACTTCTAATAATATAGGGATTAATTTCGCTTTTTGGTAAAAGTTCAAGATAATTTTGGAGCTAGACTTGGTCTACTCTCATGCTGTCCCCCCTTCCCCCTTTCGCTAGAAGACTTGAGCCACAATTTCAACCCATTCATCAGCCAAAGACCACAACTTCCTTGGATCTTCATTATGTGCCAATGGACATTATGTGTAACCAAGGTTTCTGAGACCTGTGTAGTTCTGTTGGTGCAAAAATTCCCTTTAATATAGAGATAGCGATGGTTGAAGTTCCTATCCCTTTTCTACTGGGTTTTCCTCACTTAATAATTTCTAGAAATTCTGAAAGCATGTTTTCCTAACATGTCCTAGTGGTCACATGTGACTTATGCCAACTTTCCATATTCTGTCATCTTGAAATTGGCTTCTCCATGCCCTAAATCATTTTGCCCAAAATAGGATACACATTTCTTCCTTATTTCCCAAAAGCACAAATAAGTTTAGACTATACATTTAACAAAAGTTAGCAAAGGCTCAAAGATAAGAGAAGCACTACACAATGAAATGTGTGATTTCTGTAGAAATAATCACTCAGAGTAAGACAGCTTCTGTCTCTCACCTCACAGAAAGTGGGTGTACTTGTGTCTATTGTTTTTATCATTGAAGTTTTAGCCAAAATTTTGAGACAGGAATTTAATATCCTATTGTATTACAACTGTCTGTAAGCAAATCTTTGAACAAAAAGCCACACATTCCTCCCAAGAAAAAGAAAATTCAGGTTTAATAGGAAAAAGTCTTTAACTGCAGTGGTTCTTTTCAGTGTAACACACACTCAATTATTCTTACCCTTGCATTCAGGTTAATGCTGCAGATGAGGCAAAGAAAAAGACTCTGACTTAAGAAGCAGTGAGCAGGTGAGAGGCCCATGTGAAAAACTCTAAGAAGAGGGTTGCCTGTTTGCCTCCCAGGAGAGAAGGCAGACAGAAGATCCTTGGCAAACACTAGGCATTGTGATTAGTACAAGAAGAGAGTGAGACATGCTCCCTTCTCTCAATAGTTCTGCGAGTTCATACCTACTCATGCATTCTTTAACACTCATTGATTTCTTGTATCTCATGGTTGGTTCTAGAGCAGACACTGAGAATCTAGAGATGAGCAAAAGAAGTCCCTTTTGAGATTGGGTTCATTCATCTCAGCATAATGCTTTTGAGAGTCATCTGAGTTGCCTGTTCTTTCTTTCTTTTTCTTTTCTTTGTTTGACTGAGAAGTATTTTTTCATATGGACTTTCCATAGTTTGTCTGTCAGTTCTTCTTAATTCATTTCTTAATTAATCTTCTTAATCAATTAATTGATTTTTTTGTTTGATTGCATTGGCTAATACCTCCATTATAATGTTGAGCAGTAGTGGAGATGACAAGCATTCCTTATTCTTGGCAATGCCTCCAATGTTTTCCAATTAAATAAGTAAGGTTCTGGATTATGGTAGTATCATTGATCTGCTTTTCCTCTTCTTAAGATAGATAGTTCAGATATCTGATTTTAGAACTCTCTTTTTCACTAACATAAGTCTGTAAAGCTATAAAATTTCTCTCTGTTTATGTTTGTCCACATTTTTATTTGGAGAGGTGGTAAGAGAAAATATTATTTGAGTTATGAAAGCTTTTGTGGGAAAATTGGGGGAAAGACCAGATATTTAAATGTTTACACAACATGAAAGACCTACCACTGAGGCACCATTTTGAATGAAACACTTTGAGTTCACTCTCAGCTCAGCTGGTAGCTATTGTCCCCAGCCACTGAGAGGACAGGGCAAAAGGGATTCCCCTGCATGGGTCCTTTCTGGCTGCCTCACTGTCTGGGCTCTGCAGAGATGGATTGTGAGCACAGCTTCAATGACACAACCACATTGTGAAAGTTTAAGAGTTAAAATATTTCCAAATTTATGAAAGGTGTTGTAAATTCAGGATAAAATATGAATTCACGGTATAGATGTTTTTAAATCATCCACATTTGTTAAGTAAGAATTCTAGCCATGTATTTGACACAAGTCCCATGTTATGTAAGCAGTCTCATTTTCATGCTCTGTTCCATTTTTTGAATCCAACATGAAGCATTTCATCTTCCTCCACTTATACCGAGTAGTAGGTATTAAAAGTAGGATATTCCCAGGGCAGTGTGGGAGCTCTCTCTTTCTCTCTCTCTCTCTCTCTCCGCTTTCTGCCTAATAAATCACTTTGTGAAAAAAAGGTAGGATATATTTTCAATCCAGGAAATTAGAGGCTGTCCCACCTCTGGAGGGCTGGGAATGCAGAGATCTTGAAAACTCACTGGTACACAGAGCTGGGTGGTTTCCAGGCGCTCATTTGCTGTGACATGCAGCTAGGTCTGTTCATTGTCTCTCTGCTGTTGCTGCCAGAGAATGGTCCTTCTTCCTTGTCCACCATCCAAATCTCATGTGAATGTCTCACTATGGTTGACTCTCACTTGGACCATACAATGTAACAGGTGATGAGAAATATCATTTGAGGCTCCTCTGTGATTCAGAAACAACAAATGATTCGGGACAGCTGAAGCATTCATATGGAAGCGTTCATCATCAATCTGACCTTTTTGTGGAAAATGTTTCCTAGCCCATTTAAGACACACTCATTGAGGCTGAGAATACCCAGGACAAAATAGCTTTGATCTTGTATTTTAACTACTTGCTGTCTGTCTTCTACAGTTACGGCTGATGAAGAACACTTCCTTGTCCACCATTGGTTTCCAATATCCTGGAGTGCGTGAAGCATTCATTAAATATTTTTTACCCGTTTGGCAGCTGCACATCACCCTTGCCCTTGGAGATTGGTAAAACTTGGCTCAAGCTGCATTTCCACAGCACACAGAGTCCAGACTCCCTCCTGCAGGGGGCTTTCTGCATTCACTTCCTCATGCTTCCCCTACTTTCTCCTGCATGGGCCACAGTCCCTTGTCTTACCCCATTTCATGCACTTGAAGTTCATTCAATTGAAGTTCAGTTTTCTGCCTGGTTTCCACCATCATAACAGTGATCAGCATTGTATAGGCTTTAGCAGCTTTCCTACAGATTTTGAGTTATAGGGGAGGGTATCAAAGGCAGCACTGGGCATTTCTATACTGAGCCCACTCTCCTCCCTCTGGCTTGGAAAGAGAAATTAATTATCCCTCTACACCCAGGAGGAAGCAACTTTTGAGCTGCTTAATAAATCGTCTCCTTTTCAGGAACGCAGATGACTGATCAATTCCAGGATGTTAGAGAACCTGACACCCACTGGACCCCTTCCTTCTATTGTTTCAACTTTTCAAAAACAGGAAACAGACTGTTCTCTTTTCCCTTTGCCCTGTGGTGACCAGATGTGACCTTCACGTTTGCTTTCTCTTTCTACTCTACAGGCACCAGTGAAGGTCTCCTTCTGGCAGCTCTGCCTGGTCTTCTCTCTGGGAGCTGTCATTCTCTGGTTGTCACGTGGCCTAGCATGGGGAATAGCTCCCTTCCATTCCAGTGGAAGGATTAGACACTCACTTTGGGCTCTGGTTCCTGCTCTGGTCTCTACTCCATCTTTATTAGAAAGTCTTATCCTTCTGGTAAAAAGATGGTATTTTGCCTGATCTGATTGAGTTCTTTGTGTGTTCTATGTCCTTCAGAATCCTGGAGGAGAGAAGGGTTTTTGGCACCCTGTCATTTACTAGTAACGTTGGAAATGGGGGAAATGCTTAAATGTCAGGCTTAGGAACGCAAATTCCCAGGTCCCACCCTACACCTACTTCCTCAGAAACTTTGTATTTTAACAAGCCTTAAATGCATGCTAATGCTTGAGGTTTTTCGAAAATACAAGATTTGCTTCATAGATATGCAGAGAAAAACCTGCAGAAATAATCAGCTTCCAACATTCAAAAATATTAAAAGAATATTTTCAGCCTTGTTAGCCTGAGGACTAACTTCAGAATGAATTGTCTGCATTTTATCATTTCTCCAATTGCCATGACAAGGCTCAGGTTTCCAGGTTACTAGACAATAACATTTTATACAGAAGTCTAGGTAATAAGATATGGAAACCCCACTCTTCTATGGGAAAAGAGCCA